AAATAATAAGAGATAATGAATAGATGATATGGAATGGAATGTAATGAATAAGCTTGATAGTTGGAAGCAGTAATATATGTGCCCCACTATATTTTTGTCTGGGATATATCTAAAAAAAGGAAAAGAAAAAAACCCACTATCCCATTAGAAACTTTTCCTTTAATTTTCCAACATGTTTGACCATCTCCTCCCATTTACATTTGCCGCTTTTGTCTCATTTTACATTGATTTATACTATGCATAACTTATATCTAGTGAAATATGGACTAGGGCAAAGACAATAAGCAAAACTTCTATACCACAACACAGTACAACAGTACAAATTTGAAGAAATGAACTTACTGCGGTTGATCATGGTGTAGACGAGAACCTCTGCCGGTGTTCCCCAGCCCAGATGTGTACGGGCTGTCACACTGAACAGGTAGTAAGTCTCACGCTGTAGTGTGGCCACTGTGTACTCAAACTGTGTGGATGGCAGCTCTGAGCTATTAGTGATGATGTTGAGGTTTTTGATGCGAAAGGATACCATGTATCCACTAACAATACCGTTTGGTTCAAGCGGCGGGCTCCATAGGACTTTTGCAGTTGTGTAGGTAACCTGAGGAAACCACACAATCACTGGTGGGCCTGGTTCTGAAGGAATATATTGTAGATGTTATATTAGTACCAATTATAAAAGAAATCTTCACATAATAAATACCATTGAATTGTTATTTCCCCTTTTTTAATGTTAAGATTTTATTACGAAACACTGAAGACTAAATTTCACTAATACTTTTTTGCCCATATTGGGGCTTTCATGTGATTTTATAAAAAGTGATTCTGACAAACCATTAATAACTTTTGCCAGGCAATATCAAGTTGATAATTTTAAACTAAACTAGAACGTTGTAAGAAAATGCTTTTAACAAACTTTAAAGGGACACTCCTGTATACATACATGAATTTTTAAAAACAGGTGCAAAATAATCTTTTGAAATTCTTGCGGAAAAACTGTATTACCTTTCTTTAAATTATAAATTAATCGATGAAAAACCTTTGAATCATTAACAAGATCCCTAGTTTGCTTTGGTTGTTGCACTTTTTAAATCTTTTTATTAACAGAATATCTGACCATGTTCCTTTAACGAAAACTTATACTGAAACATAAATTAAAATGAACTTACTATCTTCAATTGTTTTGACAGTCTTTTTGGGCACGCTGAGAACTCCGTCTCCCATACGAGTGTATGCAAGGACCTGCATCTGGTACGACACAAACTTGCGTAGGCCCTGAATCAGTACACTGTATGTTTGATTTCCCGGCACATCTTGCATCACAGGAGGAATGTTCTCGATGGCCGACTCATACTGGACCTACACCAACACAAAAATACTCATCAAGGGTCACCTTTATAGAAATTTTCACATGTTCAAACTATTACAATTAACAATTTCAGGTAAATATTTCTCATGAGTTGAGGATAAGTTCTACCTTACCGTGACATGAAATTCTGTTCCGAAACACCTCCATAGTAAGAATTATCACACAAGATGCCAATTTGAAGTTTTCAGGGGAGATAACTCTACCAAATTCTTTATGTTGCTTTTTACTACTGTTCAATGATCTGAATTTATATGCAGAATGGGTTTGTTTTTGTGATATAAACCACATAACACATTTTTCCAAAAATTACTGAGACTTTGATTAAGAAATATTTTCGAACAAACAAGTTACAACCAAGGTTAACATTTAGTTTATTTAGTAGTTCCTGAACATTTCACATGGTAAAGTGGTCGTGAAGACGCTATACCTTGTAGCCAGAGATAAGACCGTTCTGGTCAAGAGCAGGGACATCTGACCAGGAAACATTGACTGAGGTTGACGAGACAGGGATGGCTTTCACATTCTTTGGGCTGTCCGTTGGTGCTGTTCGTAAAAGAAGATAAGTATGAAATAACAGAAACATCAATTTTACATTGGACAGCCAGGAATAGTTAATACCTTTATATCATTGAGTTACAGGTATTATACATCAACCTTTCCAATTGTATCATATATATCTATTGACAAAAATCACATCATATTTTCCAAATAAAGAAATTATATAATTTGAAGCCAGATAAAGAGAAAAACCAACTTCACTGAATTGAAATTGCAGTTTCAAGACAAACACAGTTCTACTTTGTTATTTGGCAAGTAAAACAAGCTTTTTCCTGATCACAACCACTCACTTGCTTCTCTAGTACGTTCTGTGGTGATGGGACTATAGCCACTACTGCCCACATCATTATATGCCTTCATCCTGACTTGATACTCCATCCACTCCTCTAGACCGTTCAGAAAATGGTTATCACGGTCCATATTCAGATCAATCTGTGCATATACGGGGTTCTCTTTGAGCTTGTAGAACAGCTGGTAGCCACGCGGGGCTCCATTCCACTCACTCTTTGACAGTGGCTGTAAAAAA